TGACATGTACCACCTACCTAAACATTGTTTCTGACCAAGTACACCCCTTCATGGAAACATATTCCCTGATGGCAGTGGCTTTTTTACGTGCCCTGCCACAATGCAAAAATGTTTCAAGAGTGGTTTAAGGAACACGACAAGTTTGAGGTAGTGACTTAGCCTCCAAATTCTTTAGATCCCAATCCAATTGGAGCACATGTGGAATGTGCTAAAAAAAAGATCCATGGAGGCCCCACCTTGCAAGTTACAATACCTAATGGTTACTGACGGCTTGGTGCAAGGTACCACAGCATACCTTCAGAGGGCCAATGGCTTCCATGTCTTAACAGGTCGGGGCTGTTTTGGTGGAAAAATTAGCTGTTATGGCAGCAAAAGGGGGAACTACTTAAAACGTAACTCCACCCAAAAGGGGAACTGTCGCTTTAAGGCCTCGTCCCCCGCTCCCCTGTAAGGATTTGCCCCTTTGGGGAGCGGGTACCTGATTTTGACAGATACCTGCTCCCAATTCTGCTGTGACCACCTACGCAATCGGAAGCAGAAGTTATGTGCAGTTGGTGTAAATGCTGGCTATCTACCTGACACTCAATGGAACTGAAAAAGTCCAGGTAAATGTGACCAACTACTACTAGTTAACTACTAAGCCACTGTGCCACCTGATAAGACTTACTGTATATAAATGGGCAAATGCAGCAGTTTTTACATTCTCATTGACTTTTATAGAAAGAAAAGTTCTGCTGAAAATAATTGCCATATAAACCTGCCCAGTGGGGTATAGGCTATACTTTGGAGTGATCCACAGTCCAAATAAGAAGATTCTGAAATAGGGGCTGTCCATGGTTGGGCAGGTTGTGCATCAAAGACTTTGGAGAAGCAGGGACAAATATATGTTCTTCCTGATATGCTAGGGGAGGGGAATGGGGCCAAATATAGCTGGTCATACAAACGTTTTCTTCCATCAATGCTATACAGTCTTCCACTGCATCTATTGTATTTTGACAGCCAGCCCTGATGGATGTCATTTTACCTGCACAGCAGCTGCTACTGACTGGATGCAGCCAATGTTTGGCTGAAAATTTTCCAGCAGGCTCCTTCCACACAAGTAGAGCAAATGGTCTGCTATTGTTGAATGGAGTAGGGCCACCAACTGAACTTCAGACAGTTCCTCAGGAACCAGCTGAAATTTGCACAGTGTATGGCCAGCTTAAAGGTAATTACAGGTGGCTTAGAGGTTATAGTGGTTAGCAATTATGCCTAACAGCATTGGGGACCTTCTTGGCCAAGACACTCTCTGCATGGAGTTTGCATGTTCTAGTGTTTGTGTGGGTTTCCTCCAGGTGCTCAGCTTTCCTCCCACATGCCTAAAACATGCTGGTAGGTTATTTGTCTCCTGTTTAAATTTTCACTAGTATGTGTGACACCAAGCTGTGCAGTGGAATAACGTCCTAACAGGATGTCTCCAACTTCCAAACTGACCTCAATGCACTGTTTAATTTGGCAACTATGTGGCAAATGAGGTTTAATGTTGATAAATGTAAGGTGATGCACTTGGGGGCTAAGAATATGCATGCATCATACATACTAGGGGGAGTACAACTGGGGGAATCAATGGTGGAGAAGGATCTGGGAGTTCTGGTAGATCACAAGCTTAACTAGAAAAGCTACAATTTCTGGGGAAATTATGTGAAGTGTTCTTGCCTCCACCAGTAGTCTACAACTGGAGTGGGCGGAGTAACTGGGTATATAGTGGCTTGAGTAACTGTTGTGTGGTTGGAGTGGCTGGAGTAACTGTGAAAAGGTTGGACTGGGCAGAGTAACTTTATGGAGTGGGCAGAGTAACTGTGTGGAGTGTTTGGAGTGAGTAAAGATAGTAAACATTACACTAACCAATTGATTGATCAAATTTAGAAAGTGCTCATGGCAAGGTTGATAGAGTGAGAAATGCATTTCAACTTTTAATTATTTATAGTTTTAAAAACTATAAATCCTACAGCGATGAGCTTTATATTGTGAGAATCACAAGACCCAGACCTAAATTTGATGCATAGTATGTCTCTGAAATATTACAAATGAAGGCACAGTCGTAGTTTAGAAATTGCCCTTCAAATTTGAGGTGGCTAGAGAGGAGTTTCAATGAATGTCAATTGGCGGCATGCGTTGCAAACAAATGGTCATATTGTGAAAACTATCAGGACTATGGCTTAGCCGTGGACATTTTTAGTGGCAGCAGGGATAGCTGAACGTTTTGATATAAGATTTGTGTAGGTGGGCTTGAAAATGAGGGAGTGATGGCAGTTTAGAAATCATGTCCTGATTTTTGAGCTCACACTCTAGCTTTTGTCAGCTCCCACTCTAGTTTTGAACATTCCGCCATTCCTTCCTATGGGACCAATTTCACCACAAAAACATCGATATTTCGTGAACCATTTGGCGAAACATTCCACAAAGTAATAGCATACTAATCGGGAACAATCTGCACGTTTCTGTATATTACTGTCTATGTAGTGTAAAAACTGTGGGAGGAGTTAGGGTGGTAAATTTGGCTATAATAATAAGAATATATATGTGAGATAACAGTAAGTGGTCTTGCCATGCAAGAACACTTAATAATGGCATGCAATGCCAAGATGCAGTTTCTAAAGCGAGCAAAATCTCCTCTTGTATTAAAAGAGGTATAGACTCCAGAGAGAGAGATATCATATTACCCCTGAACAAATCATTAGTAAGACCTCATCTGGAATATGCAGTTCAGTTTTGGGCACCAATTCACAAAAAGAATATTGGGGAACTGGAGAAAGTACAGAGAAGGGCAACCAAACTGATAAGAGGCATGGAGGAGCTCAGCTATGAGGAAAGATTAGAGGAATTGAATTTATTCTCTCTTGAGAAGAGGAGATTAAGGGGGGATATGATCAACATGTATAAATACATCAGTGGTTTATATAGTGAACTCGGTGTAGAGTTATTCACCCTGAGGTCATCACAGAGGACAAGGGGGCACTCTTTACGTCTGGAGGAAAATAAATTTAATCTCCAAACATGGAAAGATTTCTTCACAGTAAGAGCTGTGAAAATGTGGAATAGACTCCCTCAAGAGTTGGTTCTGGCCAGCTCAGTGGATTGCTTTAAAAAAAGCCTGGATTATTTCTTAGATACACAGAATATAACTGGATACTAACATTTATAGGTAAGGTTGGTCCAGGGAATATCCAATTGCCTCTCGGGGGATCAGGAAGGAATATTTTTCCCTTCAGGAGCAAATTGGGTCATGCGCTGCTGGTTTTTTTTACTTTGCTCTGGATCAACTGGGTATAGGATTATAACTTTTTTTTTTTTAATGGTTGAACTGGATGGACTTTTGTCTTTTTTTAGCCAGACTAACTATGTAACTTTGTGTGCACCAATTTACTACGTACATGTGATATCACATTCTGCATGCTGGTCCAAAGCCGAGCAATTGGAGAGGGTTGAAGAAAGACTTAGTGACCTACCTCAAAAAAATCAAGCACATCAGACATGGTGCTCAGAATGACGGACCAAAGAATTGCTGAGAATTGGATACAACTGAATAGATATACACAAAAATGGAAAGTTCAATGCACCTACCTACCCTTTAGTTAAAACATATGGACAACAGAATGTCTTAGTAGTTAGCTCTTCTTCCCACTTCGGATCTTGGTTTGGACACTATTATTATTATTATACAGGATTTATATAGCGCCAACAGTTTGCTATCTGGAGTTTTTTTTGTGTTCTGCTTGTGCTTGCGTGGTTTTCCTACAGATCCTTTGGTTTCATGCTCCAAAGACATGCTGCTCCAAATTGGTGCTAGTTGTGTGTACAGCAGGGGCGGACTGACCATTCAGGGCCCAGGATCAGTAGGGGGCCCCATGAGATGTCCCTGGTACCTTTCATAGGCTTTTTTTTTGGGTGTGGTTTGAGTGTGGGTGAGAACACAGGGGCCCCATGATCCCCTATTGTAAATGAGTTGTTAGTCTGCCCCTGGTGTGCAGTATATATGCATGTGTACTCCAAAGACATGCTGGTAGGTGAATTGGATCCTGTCTAAATTGTCCCTAGTATGTGTATGTATGAATGTAAGCTAGGGACCTTAGATTGTACGCCCCTTGAGGGTTAGGGACTGATGTGAATGTTCAATATATATATGTGCAAGGGTGGACTGACCATTTGGAAACTCGGGCACTGCCCGAGGGCCTAGGGTCAGTAGGGGGCCCCATGAGATGCCCCTGGTACCTTTTTCATAGGCTTTTTTGAGTTTGGGCAAGGACACAGGGGCCCCATGATCCCCTATTGCCTGGGGGCCCCATGATCCCCTATTGCCTGGGGGCCCCGTGAGTTGTCAGTCCGCCCCTGTATATGTGTATGTATGAATGTGAGTTAGGGACCTTAGATTGTACGCCCATTGAGGGTTAGGGACTGATGTGAATGTACAATATATATGTAAAGCGCTGTGTAAATTGACGGCGCTATAAAAGTACTTGAAATAAATAATGTGACCTTAGATTGTAAGCTCTTTGCAGCAGGGCATGTAAAGTGATGTGTAATATGTTAGAGTTATATAAATACTTGTGCTAGTCTCAAGTAAAGTAGATTGGAAGACTTTTGTAACATAAATTAGCAGTAAAGGAATATATTTTTGGCTCAGTTTGAATCTTCGCTACCTTTCAAGTGTAATGATTGCATGGATCTAACCCTGTGAATGTTTAGATACAGAGCTTCGTTTCTTCTTCCAGTGAGGATGGAGCATGACATCAGCAGAGCACAAAGAGGAAGGGAAGATCAAGCAGCAGAGAGGAGGTGTAGGAGTGGCATCCCCATATGATGCTTGCTCTGCCTCCTCCCTGCTAGTGATCATCATCATCATCATCATCACGTTGCCTCTCCTGGCTCCTTGTTTCCAGAGGCTGAATGTAGCCTTCCAGCTTTGCAGCCCCTTGTTATTTTCATGCATCTCCTAGGCTGCAGAGGACAGTGCACACAGCATGCACTGGGGTGTTGGTCTGGCCTCGTCCAGGTCTTGTGTGGTTGATCTGAGCAGGAATCAGACCTTCTCCCTGTGCTGGTGTGCGGGATCCGAGGACAACTACTCCTTTTATGGGGACATCATCGCTTTCCCTGTGCAGGATTACACTGGCGTTATGTCAGGGCTGGGATCGGATTCCTGGTGGAAGAAAACCCTCTATCTGACTGGGGGGGCCCTGCTGGCTGCTGCTGCATACCTACTCCATGAGCTGCTGGCAATCAGGTGAGGGACACATCCTCCTGTCTGGTCTGCTTTGGAGGGATCCCCTATGTTACAAATGGTAAACACTGTTTTGACAGATCAGGATCAGAGCACACTGACAGCTGTACAGGTTGGCATGGGCTGGTGATTTGACATTGACAGCTTCGTGCCAATACTAGAACCCCAATCAGGTGGGTTTGATATGGTCCTGTTCCTATATACACAATTCTTTCAGCATCAATGTGCTTACTAGGCAAGTCTTGTTGACATTCTGCACAGGATTAACCCCTTTCACTCTTTGTATTAATCCCTTAGAATCAGATAAAAGAGAAAGCAAAATCTGCAGATTCTTGAAGTGCCAGAAGTAAACATGTATCCTGTAAACTATAGGAATGAAACATTGTTTTTGTTCAGGTCAGAAGGCAATGGGATATGTCAGTGTCAGTTGTTTTGTTATGTTTTTACTTTGTTTAAAAATCAAGATCTTCGATTCAATTGCATCCTTTGACAGGTAATTCACTTACTGGAATGTCATGTTTAGTTGTAAACAATAATAGGTGGGGACATCTCTAATGACCAGATCTGAGAGTGCAGTGAATGGAGAACGCTGGTTTTGGCATGCTGGCCTACACTGGATGTTTGCTACTCTATAATACTCTTGTATGGCCTGCCAAATCTTCCCAAACATAGCCTTTGACATTGGCTTCAACATGCAACACCATCATCATTTCCCAGCATGGATGATGGCTAAACAAGGCTGTGTACTGTAATAGACTGGCTATAGGCCTACTGGTGAGCAGACAGGCATAAACACAGTATACGCAACAGAATAGGCTATACATACATGTGCAGCATTATATATATATATTATATAATATATTATATATATAATAGTATTGGGGTGGGGGCTGTAGGGGGAGCAGCACACAGGAGGTTTTGTACATAGAATAGATGAAAGAGAAAAACCTCCTGCCCTTACAACCACTTTAAACCCTCAGTGGTTTTTCACCTTAACACATTGAGCACAATAAAATAAACATTTCCCAGTGTACTCGTTAAAATTCTTACCATAGCACTTGCTATTTACAATTTTCATTGCTGCTCTTGCTCCTGCTCCCTCGGTGCTGCTTTCCTGGACTTCTTCACAGAAAAGAGAAGTATGGGCTTTGTTTTTTTTTTAAATTGCTGCATGTGTCCCCCTACCAGCTCCAAGTGTGAGAACTCGGCGACCACATGACTGCTGATCACTGAGTTCTCACCACCGCCGTGAGCAGAGAGTGGTGATAGTCACCGCGTCTGTTCTACCCCCCCCCCCCCCCCGACACGCTCACTGGAGGGCTGGGCCATGGAGGGGGAGGGAGTGCCTGGGTTAGCCTCTCAGTGAATCAACTGTGAAGTCAGGATCTTTCCCCAGCCTGGACCGGCTGAGTGACGTCAGCTGACAGTGGGATTCAGTCAGCTGTCAGGTGAAAACAGGCCACAGGAGAAGTACAGCCAAGAGATCTTTGACTGTATGTTTTTAACAGTTTACAGTGCAGTCTCAAGTCAGTCTATTCATTTGGAAAAGGGATGGGGAGGAGATAGGAGCAAGGGAGTGCCTTGCCATCCTAGGCTATGAGGCTGTGTGTTTATATTGATGAACACAGTGTTAGAAGACATGACTCTAGTCCCTGCATGTAAGGGTGGCTCAATAGGACACTGCAAGAGATAGGACTGACCCTGAAACAGAAAACTTGTGGCAGTTGTCATGGGACTGGATTAAACATGATTAATAGATGAAGAAGCAGCGTACTCAGAAAGTGATTTAAACAGCTGCTAAAAGTAGTTCAAAAACTGAGGGTTTAGGTCTCATACACACTGGGCATCAAAAACGCTGCTTTTAACTCCTTCCTGGCCGGCCTAACGTACGATGATGGCTGAGCAGGAACCCTATTATTCTGGGAGGACATCATATGATATGTCCTCCTAGGATTGTGTCTCGTGCGTGCCCCACAGGCCGCACTCTGGCGCAATCTGTCACCAGCTGTGTCCACGGGACATGGCTGATGACAGATCACTACACAGGTCCACTTCCAGTGTCATATGATCGCTGTGACCAATCACAGCAGATCACATGACAGTTGTAAACAATAAATGGCTTCCTTTCATGCCATTCATTGCTTACAACTGTGCCACGAGCTGTGATTGGTCACAGTGGTCACATGTCCAGACTGGGCCAATCAGAGCCCACCTGCAGTATGTGATCAGCTATGGCCAATCACAGATCATCACAACAAAAACTACTGAATGAAGCAGTTTCATGAAATTCGTTGGTATAAGCAATCATAATGTGAAAAAAAAATCCTGATCGCTTGCCCAGAGTTGTACAATGTTACTATGGTAACATTGTATTGCTCTGGTCACAGGAGTAGAAAAAAATCATTAAAAATTTAAAAAATTAAACATTTTTTAAAAAACTAATTTTTTTTTGAAATTTTCAATTTTTTTTAACATATTGTTGCCAGCCAGTGTCCCTGATTACCACAGCACTAGCTATATAATGACGCTTTACTGCATTGGTGACAGTATGTAAAAAAAAAATCTAAAACTTAAAAAAACTCACCATGCCTCTTCCTAAATACCTTAGACTGTCTACTTTCCAAAAAGTGGTCATTTGGGGGTATTTGTACTGTCCTGGCATTTTTGGGCTTCAAGAAATGAGATCAGCCATCAGTGCATCAGGATTTATCAATTTTTAGATATATCCCATAGTTTGTGGACTCTATACCTTTCCTACCAACTAAAAAATAAATACTGGTTTGGGTTACTTTCACCAAAGACATGTAGCAGAATACATGTTGACCTAAATTTGTGTAGAAAGATTATTTATTTGCAAAATGTTATACCAGAAACAAAGAAAAACGCATAAATAAAAATTGGTCTTTTTTGTTTATAGCGCAAAAAATAAAAAAAAACAGTGATGATTAAATACCACCAAAAGAAATCACTGTTTTCACCTGGGTACAGTGTTGTATGGCCGGGGTGGACTGACAACTCATGGGGCCCCCGGGCAATAGGGGATCATGGGGCCCCGTGTACTTTCCCAAACTCAAAAAAAGCCTATGAAAAAGGCACCGGGGGCATCTCATGGGGCCCCTTTGACCCTGGGCCCTCGGGCAGTGCCCGAGTTTCCAAATGGTTAGTCCGCCCCTGTGTATGACCACCCTCGTTTGCTCTCCTTTGGTCTACTAAGTACACTATTCAAAGTGTTTTGTTACACGTGTTCAAAAAGTGCAAAACATACTTGGTTTTGGCAGAAATCTTGTGAGTTGATAACTTCCGGTGTTCTCTGCCTTTGTATGAGAAGGGGAGATGAAGAGTGGGGAGAAGATGAGGAGAGGTCTGTGTTCTTTGATTATCCATCAGAAATGAAGTAGGCAGTGCTGACACCACGTGCGAAGGAATTCAGAGCTAGTTGTCATGTCAGGGAGTTTGGAACATACCAGCAGCATGTTTAGTCCTTTTGCTCTATTGCACATTCGTGGCAGTGCTGACTTGTAAACAGACTCCTGATTCTTGTAACAGCTGTTTATTTTTAAAGTTTTTACAGTGAGATGTCAGCAACTGTCAGAAGAGGCTTACAATGCCTATTTTGCAATCAAATAAACTTGCCTGCCTGTTTGCAATTCTCTGAGGAATGTACACAATCTGTGCATGCGCAGCTTTGTTTACATTTCCGTTACAGTGTCAGTGTTCCGGATATATGACTGCCACGCATGCGTGGGATGTCATCCTGCACTGGCCAAACGAGATGGCCGAATGGCCGAAGACTGGTACCCAGAAGAAACTCAGGAGAAGATGCCAGCTCAGGTGTCAGACCATTGAAATAGAGGTGTTTTCACTTTGCTTCCACTTTAAGGCCCCTTTTTCAAGGGCTTTCCAATCAGGTCTGCCTGTCAGTTTTTCAGGTGGACCTAACTGGAAAGTCTATGCAGCTCTATGGGCAGACAAATGTAAATGCATTGTGTCCTTTTACTTCCACCTGCCTGCAAGTCTCTCCAGGTTCTGGATGGATCAGAGGAAGCCTGATGTAAACACACATGTTTGTTTACATCCAGCCCCCAATAGAGCCAGGTCCGCCCCTGTCCCCTGTCAAAATGTGGACAACAACTGAATGGGCACAGATGTCATAAAACTGATATCTTTATCATTCTGCTCCAATCAGCAGAGGACCTGCTCATAGAGAGGAGCGGCCCTGTGCTTAACTGCTTCCTGACCGCCCTATAGCAGAGCTACTGCTACAGGGCTGCGCAAAATCACAAATATATATATATACGTGATTTTGTATTTCTGGGTAGGGGGCATGCACACCCTACCCATGCCACCATTGGAGGCTTCAGCTTCAATCACCAGGTCCTGGCTGAGTATCAATGATGAGGGAGAGGTCTATATGTAAACAATACAGATCTGTCCCCTGTCAGCTCCAGCACGCTGCATAGCAGAGGCATACAAAGCAGCGTGCTTACACAGTAAAGCACAGCACATAGTAAAACACACACAGCACACAGTTAACCCTTTGATCGCCCCAGATGTTAACCCCTTCCTGCACAGTGTCATTAGTACAGTGTCAGTGTTTTTTATTAGCACTGATCACTGTATTAGTGTCACTGGGGATGGCAGTGGCAGTTAGTCAGAATGCCCGCCGCATTCCCCCAGTCCTGCTAAAAGTCGCTGATTGCCTCCATTACTAGTATAAAACATAAATTTTTTTTTTACTGGACATGTTTTATAGCAAAAAGTCCAAAATTTCGTTTTTTTTATCAAACTTGTCAGTCTTTTTTTGTTTATAGTGCAAAAAATAAAAAACTCACAGGCAATAAAATAGCACCAAAGGAAAGCTACATTTGTGTGAAAAAAAGGACAAAAATTTAAATTTGTTGCATGACTGCGCAATTGTTAGTCAAAGTAATGCAGCACCGTCTTGCAAAAAATGGCCTGGACAGGAAGGGGGGTAAATCCTCTGAAGGGCAAGTGGTGAAAAA